TAAAAAACAACCCTTGGACTAAATTGCTTCTTATTCACTTCAAAGCATGAACAGTTTGTTTGGGTTTGTCATTAAGAGTGATAAATGTTTCTACTGAATGATGCTAATCTTTAGCTTAGCATGTCTGCGGTTATATAATATATGGTTCTTCCACACGCTACTGAGGCTCCTGTTTGTTAAATGAATACATTAAATTGCCAATATATCTTCTTCAGACTTCAATTATCCAATCCACTAAACGACACCAAACAAGAGTCAACAGCAGAATAAGCTTTTTGGCAGAGAAGATTTGGCAAGTTTTTCATGGGTGCATCCCACATGCTCGGCTGTGCTGCTCATCCCACAATTGCATGTTCCTTACAAATGTGGCACCATTTAAAAGGGAAATAAACAGGCTTGAAGCATTGTTACAACAAATAAATAATCTACCAAACACAAATTTCCTTACATTTTGTGAAATGTTTATATTTCATGAAGAAATTATGTCAAGGCATTGGCAGATTCATGTTTTTCCCCTCCATTACCTGGGGAAACTTGGTGTTTTTCATCACGTTCCACAAAACAGTTGCCAATTTTATTTTGAGTCAACATTTTTTTAGTCATTAATTTACCTACATATAATTTTAAGTGGAGTAAATTTACTCAGTGAGTCTGATATGTGTAATTTTGCTCTAGCTTGGCCAACCTAAAGTTAGACTCTTAACTGTGTTGAGTGTTTTTGTTCCGTGTCATACCCCCTGCTCCTGTTACTGAGCTTGGATGCTTTTACTGAAATGTCGATGTTATTAAGAAAATAGATTTTTTTTAAAAACCAATGAAATAGAGAACTAATTTTTTTAAAATACTGTAAAGATTGATACCTGTATGGAAACAGTCAGGAAATAATGAGATGGTATTACTGAAATCTGTATAAACGACTTAACCCGTGAAGAGCTCATCAGTCAGTGTCCGCACAGATGACCTCCCTCTCTTTGCTCCCCTCTCTCCCTCTTAAGTGTTAATGTACTTTACATGACCAATTATTTAGTCAGTGTGTGTACTCCTCGGCAGTGGGGAAGGGTCTGCAGAAGAGGAGCATCTATGCAAAGAAGGAGGGACGCCCCCAGACCAGAGTGTATATGAGACCCTCACAATCAGGGTATGTAACCCACACCAGCTTCACCCTCTTCATCCTCATTCTGCTGGTGAATTTTGAAACTTTTTGGGCTTCTTCCTCCAGGTCCACTATGTTAGGACAGATACTTCTTCAGGGCACGGTGGTCCTTTGGTTGGCGGGGACAGCGCACACAAGAGGTGAGTGAGAGCAGAGGGGTGTGTGATGAATCACAAAAAATGATAGAAGTGATATAAATCATTGAAAGAGGCTTAAGGACTAACTTTGTTAGAGGGACTGAAAACCACATAGGGGGGGCAAGAAAGTAGACAGTTTAGTGAAAAGGGTGAACTGATCCTATATGTGTAGAGTCACTCAGGTTTGTTGATGAGGAATACTTGAGGATTAGGTTTGTGTCAGTGAGCAAGCATTGATTTACTGCTTTCATTAGTCATCAAGACTTACAGGCCCATGTTATGCTACATTACCTAGGTGTGGCAACCTGAAAAAATATTCCCCAAAAAGGGAAATAAGGGAAATGAAACAAATACATAAAATATCGTTATATGAGTGAATTGATGTATAAATAAATATATTGATATAGATATTTAGTTCTTCATGTTTAAACCAGATTGTTTCTCATTAAACTATTTGAAAAAAGTTAAGGGATTAAATTGTCCAATAAGATGTTTCAAGTGAGATGATACAAATGTCACTGAGATTAAATGGTGATTTTGTTTTTTTTTAAATTGTATTTTATTAAAAATTGGGGTTGGCTGTGGCTCAGTTGGTAGAGTTGTCGCCTCTCAACAGGAACGTCGAGAGCTCGATCCCCAGCTGGGCAACATGTCCGATGTGTCCTTGGGCAAGACACTTAACCCCGAATTGCTCCCGCTGCTTCGGTGGAGGTGCATGAATGGGATTAGTTACTTCTGATGGATGATACTGATCACTACCATCAGCTTTAACCACAAAAAGTGCTTTGAGTAGTCGGAAGACTAGAAAAGCGCTATATAAGCTCAAGTCCATTTACCATTAACCAAAATGTTTGCATGTATATTTTGTGATGCCAGAAAGTACGTTTTTGAAAAAATGAATGAAAAATGGTAATTTGATTAAACTTTTGATTTACACCAATATGCATTTCATGACAGTGATATAACAAAGAAATCATTAAAGCTGCAGAACGTCAGGTGAGTCTGGAGTCTATAATGGAAGCTGTTTCCACCATAAAACAATTTAAACAATACTATACTTGTCCAGTGATGGATAAAAGCATATGACTTTAATATTTATTTATTCATGTATTTATTTACATTGGATCCCCGTTAGCTGTTACCACAGTAACAGTTATTCTTCCTGGGGTCCATACATGGACCACCACATATAATATGGTTATAGTTTTGTTTGAATTAAACAACAATGATATGATATTTATGTGACATCTACTTCAAAAACCTTTACTGCAGAAAACGAATGTGTGCCAGAAGTTAAAAAGCTACTGAAAGATTTGAGCAAAAAACTAAAGAATCTTTTTCCTGAATAGAATGATGGATGTTGTTTGACCAAACTGAACATTCATTAAAATTCTTTGAAGTCTATCAGATTGTGTTAAATGTTGGCTGTCCACCTCACTCTTGAGCAGAGAACCTGCTGAGATCCTGCAGAGGTAGAAGAAGGAAAAAAAGATGAGAAGGATGTCTTAAGCTGCTCTGGTTTGCTTGTTAAATTTCAAACGATCCTGTTAAACTGAAATCTTCGGAATACTCACTGTATGGCTCTTTCGTGTCCTCGGAGGTCTGCCAACTTCTCTTGTGATGATGTGAAACAACTATATATTCTTTCCTCTTAACTGGCAGTCTCAGCTTGGGAAATCAAAGGCAGCTGGGCTTTAGTGGCAGCGGGCGTCTAAATTTAACATCCCTCTGTGAGAGAGGAGAATAGTTTTACTGCATGTACACAGTCACTCCTTTCACTTCTGCAGAGTCCCCCGCTCACTACTTCCCAAAAATGTTCACCTGACTTCTGAGTGTCCAGGACATGGGGATGAAATTTTCATAAACAGTAAGCGTGCTATTATAACTTAGGGACTACAAGATGATTGTGAGGAGGAGGGGGAGCTGAACCTCTTGGTTTTTTTTAAAAAGGAACTCCATCCTGCATATATAAAAAAAAAAAATCCCAGTCATTTGTCTTGAGAGTAAGATAACATCCAACCAATACGTCCCAATAGAAATGAAATATGAATATCTTAGTTCATTTGATATTGAGTACAATAAAGATTAAAAGGATGATTACAATTTTTCTTATTTAAATCCTATTATATAGACAGACTTACATGATACATTACAAATATGCATGGTAGACGCGGGTTTATAAATTTGCAGCATTTTTGCATAATAAACAATTAGATTTTTCTGCATTTGTTTTTGTGAATTGAGAACTTCAAAATATGAATGAATTGAAATGTCACATGTGCAGGAGGCAACTCTAAAAACAGAGAAATAACAAAACAACTTTCAAGTATAATAAATCTTTCATTTTAAAAAGAATGAAAGACCCTCCTTTGTTTCCTCTTAAACAGCCAAACTCTCCACTTAAGGAAAAAAAGAAACACAAATCCCAGAAATAATGAATCCAACATTCACAAACACAAGTTTTGATAGTTTCTCAACTGAGGCGGGCAGTCTCAGGATGATTTCATCTTTTATTAAACACACAAGTGATTGCATTTATTTTGGGTCCAAGTGAGGGTAAATACTGTTTACAATTTGACTTTTCATGACCTCTATCAGTTTGTTCGGTTTCATGTCTTACATAATCGACATACGGAAGCTATAGGAAGCTACAGCTTGTAGCAAGTAGAGAATCATGTGACGTGTCGTGGACTTAAAAATAACAATTCTTGTTTCCTGTTTAGAGACTCTCAGTAAATTATTACTCTGATAACGGGTCTGATAAGTGAACACTGACCAAGACTTGTTGCTTCTTTTCTTTAAGTGTCATTGTTATGGTTGAGTTACCTTTGGATGAATGGAAGATTACGTATGTTTCATATTTGTAACATTTAAAATTATAACCTTCAACTTAAACAGCAACAATCATTTGTTTTTGATTCAGAGTAATATCTTCCCCTTACTTACTGTTTGTACAGCCCCTAAACAAATACCATCATTATTTATGACATTCATTTGTAATGTTTTAGTGAATACTTCACTATTGCTTTGTCGCTGTTATTGAAGGATTGAGGATGACGCCTGTGGATATGTTGCAAATTGAAATAAAATGAACTGTATTACAGGATACAGTGCCGCTTCTGGAATATCTAATGGACATGGGCCACAACTCAATGGTAAATATACTACCTTCACTTTTGTCTTCTTAAAACCACATAATTCTGCATTTCTTGGATTTCCACAAAAGACAAACTTCAGCTTCACAGCCGTTGTAATGGTTTTCAGGTAACAATGGTGGAGGTGTTGGAAGAATTCTGATGCCGTCAAAAGGTATATTCATGCTAAATATTGCTAGACGTGAATTTATTTTTCCCCAGTTCAGTTTTTGACTCATTATTTTTTGTCCAGGTGTGGGTCAGGCAATGGGTGCACAAAATGGATATGGTGGATACCCCACAAAAGGCATGGGTGTGTGATATTGGCATTACATAAATATTTTTTTTGCGCGGATTCATCTGTTCAGAAAAATGATGTAGCTGAGTGTTAATGCAAATGAAGCTACTTTGATTTGTAAATATGTTTCCTGATCCATTTCAGGCTATGGAGGTGCGACCAATGGAGGAGGGAGGAAAGGTAAGTAAATGCTGTTCCATGCATGTGTTCATATTATTTTAGCAAAAAGATAATTTACAAAAAAAAAAAATACTGGATGTTTTTTCAATCTTTATGTCAAGGCTATGGAGCATCAGCTGGTGTTACAAATGGACATGGTGGCAAATCACAGGGTTCGTTTTCCTCCTTTCCACTATTTAATATAACGTTTAACCAACAGATGGCAGCAAATGCTAATTGTTTAGAATATTATTCTAACGCTAAAACCAACGGGGACTCTAATCACATGTTTCTAAAGTGGGTCTATATTGTTTTTGTTTTGTTTTACTTTCAAGTCTGTATCACATTCATTGTTTTCAACTTTCTCTACATCCAGGAGGAAATCCAGCATCTTTACCCAATGGGAATGGAGCTTACTCAAACGGTATGATTAAATTCTCCACCAGAATCTGTATTTGGAAAATGATGATTCAACTCCAAAATGATTTGCTGTTCTGTAGTAATACTGTGATCTTCGTTTCAGGACACGGAGGTCAAGCTGGCCCGGCCAATGGACAACCAATGAAAGGCAATGGTATAAAACATTTGTATTCTCATTAAGGACATGTTCAATCCCAAACACACACACACATACACATTCAAGAAAACTGAGCAACAATAGTTGAATTTAATGTGTATGTTGCAGGCTACGGTGCTCAGGCTGGTGGATACGGTGGACAAGGAACTAAAGGCAACGGTATTTTGATTTGATACAGCAGAAAGACATAAAATATCACTAATTCAACATGAGCCGTTTGTAAATTGAGACAGTTTGCCCTATGTACATCACACTATTGCCAAAATAGAATGAATCAGTTTGACTTTATTTTCTGTAAGTGACTTTTTCCATATATCTTACCAAAGCAGACATAATGATTCTCTGTTTGTTTCTCTCATGGGCTCTTAGGTTATGGAGCTGCAGCTGGTGTGGGAAATGGAGCTAAACCTAACAGTGAGAGGACATTTCCTAAATAAATAAAAATCTCCCATTTATTTGCTTTGAATCAAATAATTAAGAAATGTGTCATATTTGCAGATAATGGTGCTGCAGCCGGTGGACTTGGAATGAAAGGCAATTGTGGTTTAGTTTCTATAATGTTATTATTTGTGTGTCTGTTTTTGGATTTCACAGTATTATTATTATTATATATTTGTGCACAAGACCATCAGAAATATACAAATACAAAGATCTGCAGAGTTTTCTATAATTCATATTTGTGATTATTTGCTGTAATACCGTCATACTGTTACTTCTATTGCAGGACATGGTGCTCAAGCTGGTCCAACCAATGGACAACATATGAAAGGCAACGGTATGAAAAAATTCGGTAGTCATGGACAGACACATACAGATGAGCAACATGACTGTTCAACTTATTGTTCTCTGACAGGTTTCGGTGCACATGCTGGAGGATATGGAGGACGAGCAACTAAAGGAAATGGTATTTAAATGTGATGATGTTCTAGAGACAGCGTAGGGTTGGGTTTGATAAACATGAGTACAGATTCAAACAGAAATATAAAATTCATCACGTGTCCATGTTACATAACTCATTTTGGGTTGACTGTGATTGTAAATAAAGTTTAACTGCAAGTCTTGTTTCAAACTGGCAACTTGACATCTCTAATTAATGTAGTCATACTGTATGAGTTTTGGTGCTCACTGACAAGTATATTTTTTCAAGAATGGTTTTCTTTGTTCTCTAATAAGCAAATAACTTAGTTTGATTACCCATAAAATGTGTTATTAGCTGATTTTACTATTTAAAGAATGATGAAGAGAAGAGTTGGATATGTTTTTTGGTGTTTGTATCTGTAGGTAATGGTGCTGCAGCAGGTGCACAAAATGGACTTGGGACTAAAGGTAAACATTACTCTCTTAAAGTCTGTTCATTGAATTGTATTGATACAATCTGGCTTTGTGAACGAGAGGTCAAAAGACCCTTTAGACTTTAAAGGGATTTGAAATTAAAATTTGCTTTAGGAAGGCATTAGCTGCTATCAAAAGTCTGTCTCTTGCTTTGAGTTCTTAAGAAACACAAAAATCCTCCTCTTTACTACAGGGTATGGTGCTGGATTTGGTGTGCCTAATGGGAATGGGGCTAAAACAAACGGTAATGTCTTCAAAACCAGAACTTTAATATGTATGAAATGTAAAGGGTGTAACATAACTTAATGCAATAATGGTTCTCTAGGACAAGGAGCTGCAGCTGGACCATCCAACGGAAATGGGGCGAGACCAAATGGTATGACTTGTCAATTAGAACATGGCAGAATATTAATAGAGTTTCTATTTACGTGACCAAAGCGTATCTCTTTATGTAACAGGACAGGTTCCAGCTGGAAGTAAGCCAATGAAAGGTTTTGGCCGACCACCTTTTGGTGCAGGTAACTCTTCTTCTGCCCCCTTACTGTCTGTGAGTTCATAAATATCTCTTGACTCAATATTGATACGAGTGTGCGTCTGTGATTTAAGGTCAAGGTGTGGGGATGGGAGGTCTGGGAGTTCCACAACTTGCCAGAAACCAAGGTGAGTGAAGGTCAAAAGGTCTCTCTTATCATTGAACCACCTTATATACTTCTAACAATGTCTAAATTATTTTCTTCCAGGATATGGCAGTAATGGTTATAATGGTTATGGGGCTCAACCCAGGGGAGGTGAGTCATACGTCAGTGTTCAGTGACATCGCTCACTAATTGATGAATACAAAATAAATACCATGTGTTAATATATGTGCATGCACTCTATATTTAGGCTACACTGGTGGTTTTGGTAGTGCTGGTTTGGGACTGGGACCGCGGTATGGAAACGGAGGAATGAAGGGACCAAAGCAAGGTAAGCATTTCGTATGTCTGATTGTCATGTTGTTTACATTACAAGGTCATCTATAGAAACCATTCTGATGATGTTATTTATTCAGGCTATGGCGCTGCTGCTGTTGCCTCCAATGGACATGGAACAAAAAACAATGGTAAACCTCTAAATAATATCCAATTCAGTAAATCAAATCCACTTAAATAAAATGTGACAGGCTTCACTTAAAATAAACTGATATTCATTTTGTTTGTAAATTGTAAAGGTAATGCAGGAGCCAGAGCCCCTAATGGGAATGGAGCCTTACCAAATGGTGGGTAAACATGCAGGAAATGTATGAATCTTTTTTCTTATACTGTTTACAGTATGTGGTTAAATAGTGCTGTTTTTCATGAATCTGTTAAGGATATGGATACCCGAATGGTGGAGCTAACAAGCAAGCAAAGCCAGGTAAATAAGTAAACATAAATAGTACAATAGCACTGGTGTTTCTCCCTTTTACATGACATTTAAGCTACATCCAACCCATGAGCCTAAAGAATAATATTTGGATAATTAACATAATTTCAGTGAACTGTTCATGTTTCATAGAAGATAGATACATACAGTATTTAAAATATTTAATATGCATAGTTTTAAATATCAGCAAATGTGTGAACTCGGATTTTCCCTTTTTTCTGATGTTTTTGATATTGTAGCTTATGGCAATGGTCAAAATGGATATGGTGCAAAACCAAATGGTGAGATTGTCTCTTCTTCTTCTAATCTGTATAATAATTCATAATGATTTTATTGTGATAACATCTCAAGAGCAGTATAAAGTGATTTCCTTTCATGAATATTTAACAGGATATGGAGCCAGCAGAGGAGGTGCAATGAGACCCCAACCAGGTAAAACTTGAACTGCAAAAATGACACAAAATGTACTTTTGCACACATGATTGATTCAATTATTCATTTTATCTCAAGGTTTTGGAAATGGAGCTGTTCCCAATGGATATGGAGCTAAACCCAATGGTAACAGGCCCGTTTGATGTTAAAGTATTGAATGTTCCTTATTATTTCATTGTGATATTATATTTATTTGATGTTGTGTTTGACTCGAGGTTATGGAGCTGGAGCTGGAGCTGTCAAAGGAAACGGGGCAAAACCCAATGGTGAAAACCAGTTCTAATATTTTCCTTGTATGCACTAGTACCCAGTTTAAAACTACCATGTTTGAAAGAGCTTAAACTTAAGAAATTAAAAAAAAAAGTAGTACAACGAATTATATTATAAGCATTTTAATTAAATATATGAGCTGATTGTGACAAAAGTATATCTAAAAACATATCCAACTTTTTGTTTCAAATAACCGGTTCCTTCTCATGCAGGGATAGTTGATACATTTATACATTTATAATTTTCAGAGTAGAGTTTAATATTCATTTTAATAAAACACAAAAGAGGTTTTAAACAAGTAACTGAGAACATATTATTTTAACCCGGGTTTTGTTAATTGGATTCATAAATGTGTCCAAAAAAGAAAAAACATAAAGAAATGTCCATATTTCTTTCACTTGATTTAGTCTACAATCGACTGCCTTGTTTACTTCTTGTTTTACTTTCTTTTGAGGTCATGGAGTAAGAAATGGAGCTGCACTCAATCAATATGGAGGAGCACTCAATGGTAAGTTCAAGCTTTGATTTTCCGACTTCTATAGAAATTCAGAAACAAGTATTATCATTCATACCTGACATTGTGACATTTGTAATCCATTGTTTGAAGGGTTTGTCCCGAGCAGAGGCTCAAAACCTCAAGCTAACAAAGGAGCTGGAGCTGTGTCACCTGGTGAAGGGGCGAAATCACTCGGAAATGGTAAGATAGAGTTTGTAATGAAAAAAAAGAAAGAAAGAAGAAAACCACGTAGTGAGACAGCATCAAAATATAAATTGAAAGCATAATTTTCCTCCACTTTTTATTGGTTAGGAAATCCTGTTTCTACACATACCGTATGTATTGAAAATGTTGTGTTTCATAGGCTATGGTGGTGTTGCTGGTGTACAGAACGGACAGTTTGCAAAAGCAGGCAATCCTGGTAAATGTTCCTGAACATGCACGTGTTAAATTTCTCTGTTGTATGTCATTAAACTCGATAAGAATTTGGATTTGATTTGATTGGTGTTTCTCTGTTTGATTGTTAGGTTTCGGCACAATGCCTTATGGTAAAGGTACAAACACTGCAGGGGCAACAAATGGAAAAAGCCTTAAAGGGGAAGTTTTCTCTCCAGAGCAGCCCAGCGCAGCACCAGAGGAGGTGTTAGTCCCTCAACAAGCGATAACTGAAGGTGCAGCACCCGTCACCCCTGAGCCCACCAGCGGTATCCTCGTTATGGTGACACAAGAGAGGCATCAGACACTGCCCTATCCTGTGCCACAAGGGAAAAGCTACAAGACACCACTGATCCCTTTTGTTACACAAGAACCAGCACCAGTGATTCCTCAAGAACCAGAGCCTGCACTAGAAACCACTCCTGAAGCAGCACTTACAGGTCCAAAGGTGGTAACATCTGGACCTGGACCAGTGATTTACCAGACTGCCCCAGCACCAGAGCCAGAAGTGGTCCTTTCTCAAGGCAAGTACCCCAAACATAAATCTGTACATTGAGCTCGTAGTTGGGAAGTTAAAAGCATCAGTGGCTTCGCAGTTTAAGAAATAACATGATTTTCTTCTTTTCTTGACATCACTTTTGCCTCCTCAAAAGTAAGGCAAAAAAGGACAATCTAATCTTAATCTTAATGCACAATGTTCATAATATTATTCTTTCAGATGCACTTGAACTAAAGGTTTAAGTTCGACAAGACAGGAAGTCTATTTGGAGGCTTATGTTTTGTATTCTGTTTATGCAGAGATTCTGTATATCTTTTTGTATGTGGCTGCCGCAGCAGCAGAATTGATTTGCAAACATTTGTTGAAAAATCTGTACTTATATATGTATATAAAATGTATGACCTCTAGGATATGTGACTGGGGATGCTGTGCCTGAGCAAACAGGCACAGAGACAGATGTTCTTTTTGGGGGGGGGGGGGTGAAGGGGTCGTAGTTCCTGAAAGCACAAAATCCCTGAAAACCAAAGCATTGCCTGAAACAGTGTTGGCTAAGAGTACAGATAGCATCACACCTGAAGAATCTCTGTCTGTAGGAGCGCCTGACATTACACCAGAAGAAGCAAACATCAAGAGGCAGCCTGAGGTGGGACCTGTCAGGCCTGGGGTCAAAGGTCAACCTACAGGAGAAACTGGTAATCCAGGACAGGGTGTATTTAATGATTCTGTATTGCATGTGTAAACGTCGACTAAATGTCATGTTTGTCCTAACGCTGAGTCTGTTGCAGAATTGTTCAGGCTGTGTTACAAGTGTTTACTTGAGAGTGAATCCTAGCCAGTGCTCATGGTTGTAACTCTTTTTTATGTCTTGTCTGTGTTGCATGTCCTTGTCAGATTTGCCTCAGAAGATACCAATAACTTGTGTTCAGACGTGTTTTTCTTTAATTTTGTTGAAACCCTGACCAAACTGTTTTATTGAGATAACCAAGTTTGTCCATTTTAAAGTGACATTTTGGGAAATAAGAAACAGAGAGTATTATCTCTCTGTTTCTATTCATAAAAGATCTTTATGCTACGCTAAGCTAAAGGTCTCCTGGCTGTGGCTTCATCTTCTTTAAAGTGTTGATGTTCTTCCTTGGTTAACTTTTGGTAAGAAAACGACTTCCCAAAATGTAAACTTGCTTTAACCTTTGTTACAGGTTATGAATTAACAAATTCACAACACTCCTACTACTTGACATGAAGTGTGCAGTGTGTGACCTTGGCCAAGTGAGGCTGTCTTTGTGGTTTATATGACCTTTATTCTTTCAAGTGTCAATTTGGGCCATCCAGTGCATGAAGTCCAACATTTAACCCACTGATTTGTGTTTCTCTAACTGTGTTTCAAGTCGAACATTTTAAGGAGAGTTTGTACAGTATGTTGATCATTTCCATTAAAGCTCTGATCTGTTATGCTGTCTGCTCTGCTTTTCAGAGAACGGAGGTGTACCCACCATGTCCAAGGGACAGGGAGCAAAACCAACCAAACCTGGTACACATTTCTCTCTTTTACTTGATCTATAAATTATCTGCAAGCTGAAATGCCCATTCTAGTCTACAATAATGTCCCATGCAGGGTGAACTGTTTTAGTGATCCTTTTACTTTTTGGGTTCCCAATCTGAATTAATCAAAAACTGTAGTTCAAACCAACTAAAGGTTGACAGTCACACCAATCTTATCTTGACATAAAAGGTCAATTATACCTACAAACACTAGCCTGTTATGCTCAAAACTTCAGCTCTAAACTGTTACCATGTTACAATGCTAAAATTAGCAATTAGCACAAATCACCACTGAGCTTGACTGACTCTTCTTATTGAATCATCAGTTTTTAAGTAAGAACACAGTTAATTCAACATTATACCATGAGTAAGTAAACACTTAATTACATTAGCTTTCACAGATAAAATAGTCATTTATTTTCAGGCTACATATCAAAGTGTTTCTTTAACAAGTGGGTTCATTCATATCAACCACACAGCTTGAAAACAGTCTGCTGGATTGGATGTTTGTTGCTCAGGTATTTGAACATATGAGTGTAAGTGTTGCTTTGAACTCTTAGAGTTTCCTAATAGTACATGTTTACACTTTTGTTCTAGACTGTGGACCATCAGGAGTACCAAATGGCCAGTGGATGAAGATACCTCGGCCAGGTAAACTGAGTGTATAATATTCTAACCCTGCTGTGTGTTAGTGGGTGTGATTTTAAATACCAATGTGTTGAACTAATAACAACCTACATGCGTGTTTGTTTTTTTACTTTATGTATAATGTCAGTAAAAGAACTGGGAGAGTTTGAAGTTTAAACTGATTCTCTGTAGCACATATTTGTAACCCTTCGTGAGTTTACCTTGACTTGAGTCAAAGTGTGCATGTTGTTTCATCATTTAAGGTTATAATGGAGGTGCTGGAGCTTCTGCTGGCACAAACACAAAAGGTACTTTTACACAAGTGAATATGTAGACACCAGACAAAGCATATTTTCAGACATAATAAAAAGAGTATTTACAATGTTATTATTTATCCTTTAAGTGATTTGGGGATTTATTTTTAGGTTATGGAGCAGGAGCTGGTGTTCCCAACGGATATGGTTCTCAACCCAACGGTACTTCATTCTCTTTTTATATCAATTTCTCTCAAATGTCCGCCTTTTGCAGATGATAATGGATTTATTTCAATTAAACATACGGCAATTTCATCATAATGTAAATGCAGATGTGACTGCAAGCCAGACAGTGTTGATTACTGTGTCATTGTTTAGGATATGGTGCCAATGCAGGAGGATATTCAAATGGAGGAGCAGCTAAAGCAAATAAACCAGGTACGCAGCCTGATAACAGAGTTGTTTTGTGTGAAATGCATAGACATAAAACATTTTCAAAACATCATCAAGACAATTAGGTGAGGGTACATTTTGATCTGTGCTTCAGGATAAGCAACATAATGATACATATTAGCTAATTGGTGTTCATAAGAGACAAGTATGACACCTAAACAAAAAGAAAATCATATTATGTCTTACCTTTAATAAAAAACTATATCCTCCATTGTGCACTGACACTGTGCTTCTTAGGTTGACATTGTTCATTTGTAGAACATTTATTTTTTTGTAATTCTAACCTCTGCTATTTAAAGGTGTAGGTAGAAAGATCTTTAAAATGTCAATGACATTTTGTTTGTTCCAAGGTTATGGCGCAGGAGGCTACGCTGTCCCTGGACTGAGCAATGGATATGGAGCTGGTAATATGTACTGTCAATATAAACATGGAGTGAAAACATCCTCCATTATATTACTCTTCTTCTTCAATTTTCAACAAAATGTTCCTTTGGCTTTCTGTGTGCAGGACTTGGCTATCCTTATGCAGGGAAACCTCAGCAACCTGGTGAGTGACTCGACTGACAGTCAACCTCCAAGGACAAAGAAATCCTTGGAGTTTGAAGTGAGGAGTGTTTTAATCATTGTTGTTTATGCTTTAGGCTATGGACAAGGAGCATACCTTGGAGCTGGATATGGAAATGGAAATCCATTTGGAGGTGCAGTTTAAAGGAACAATTGTTTTGCAATTCAACTTGTAAACTAAAACAAACTCTTCAGTAGACTCATGAACGAAAGCTGCAAAAAAGCCAATGTTTTGTTTAGCGTACAGTCTATTAGGTCAGGTCAATTTAAATTAGACAGCCCAATATCACAATTCAAAGTTTTCCTAAAAAGGTTGTATGATCGTACCACACCTCTATCCTGACTCTCTATTTAAGGAACACAATTATTGAGGAAACGTTCAGGAAGAATTTCTTTCCAAAACAGATATACGTACAGTAGATGTTTTGTGTGCAAACTAGACCAAGAAAATCCAAGTATATTTAAATACTGCTGAAGAAGACTGAGGGGTTTTCTTAAATGTCCCTTTTTTACTCAGGGTATGCAGGTCAGGGTGAAGCCAAATTAAGTCCAAATCAGGACTTGCCTGATCTTTATCTTTATTTATTCAAATGAACCCACGTCTAGATTATTGACTTTGAATATGTGATTTATAATGCTGTATCGTTATTATAGTCCATTAGCTAAGTCTAAATTCATCATCATGAAGTAGATTATGGTGTTTTGTCTTCAGGGTATGGAAACGGAAATGGCTATGGTGCTGGTGTACAGCCAGAGTTTGCTGGTAAGTTACATTTTATGAAGCAAAGTTATGAACTATTTAGTCAAATCGGGCTGTTTTGCAAACATGTTTGTGTTTAACTAGAGTACCATTTCTGCTTTATTCAGGTCTTGGCCAAGGTGTACCCACTGCTAATGGCAAATCAGGTATGGGTGGCAAGAGAGGATACCTTTAAACATAGATATCTTATGCAGACTTGAGCAGTGAAACAGAATTTATGAATTATTGTTCAATGTATTGCTGATTCTTCAGGTGGTGCCAGACACATGCCTTACAATGGAGCTCCAGTGATTCCTGCAGCACTAGATGGTGAGAGGTTGTAAAAATATGACTTAAGCATGAGTGAAAAGTGGGATTATCCTGTAAAGAGGATAATCCAGAGTGTAATCTACAGAGGAAAAACAAAACAGTAACAGTAAAACTATCAATAATAGTATATGCAAGAAAGGAGCCCTGCAAAAACGATTACAGATGTTGAATTATTGAATATTTTAGGTACAGTATGTTACTAAAACAGACAAAGATAAGAGAGGCTTAAATCCATAGTGTTTACACCATGACATCTCAGGTCCAGTGTGTTTGCTTTCCTCTAATGCTCAAAGATTTCTTGTGTACTCCCACAGGAATGAGTCAGTTTGAGCCTCAGTCGGCTGGCTTTGGTCCAAATGGAAAAAGCGGCAGCATGTACGGTGGTACGTCCAACAAAATCTCTTCAATCTTTTAGATCATAACATAGGAGAACTCTGATTAGAAAAGAACCCCCAAGGAACAATTGAACACATCTGTAGCATGATATTGATCTTAGAAAATGTATTAATTATCATAATATTTTTATGCAACCAAAACTGTCTCCAATATTTTAGGAATGGGTGGCATGCCTGATGGCGGTCAGCACCGGGGAATGGGTGCAAAGACATCAAACGCAAAGTATGGTGAGTGCTCTTAGTTCATGATTTACTGGCTCACAATAATGTATCTTGGGAAGGTTGTTGTTTTAAGGCTTAATTAGTTTGAAGTAGAATGCTCATAGAAGTTTAACCTCTCCAAGTATGTCACTTTCCTATTATTTATTTACCGACCAAGTGCTTTTTGCTCCCTCCCTGCCCACTTTGAATTAGGCATCGGTGGGTTGCAGTTTGGTGGACAGCAAATCAACAGAGGGACTAATGGAGCAGGCAGTTATGGTATGTCTGTGCTTTTATTGCATTCTCTCCTTTAAGGCTGTATATGTGTTAACTGCATGTGGGTCTTGATCAAAGTTGTAATTTCACTATCTTAATGCAAATGGTAAAATGGATAATCTGTTTGTCTCATTGCTGTCCAGGATATGGTGGAAGTCCCTATGGACCTGCTGGTAATGGCAAATCATCTGGAAAACATGGTGAGTCATTAGTCTTAAAAAAAACATATAAGCATGAAGCAGTACCATGAGCAGAGTTTCCAAGTGTGAAGCAAACCACCGGGCAACTTATCTATTATGACTGTGTTGAGATATTTATGATAATTTTAGTCAACTCTATTGCAAGTGGTCTTGGTGGTGGAGCAGGAGGGAATCCTGCCCCAGAAAAATATGTTCAGTGTGATGACACATAAGGTCAAAGGTTTTTTAATTAACTGCAGGACATTCTAGAAATTATAGAATAAATATTGAAATGTATTCTCGACTCTGAAAAGATTCCTTGTGAGTTTGAGATTTTGTGATATGTTATACTTTATACGGTTTTATCTCTGTCCCTGCTCAGGGTATGGTGGGTACCCCAATGTTGGGCAACTTCTCGGCCTTGGCAGTAACGGAAACGCTGCCGGAAAATATGGTGAATAATTAGTTAGTTTTACTTACTGTAATTTTTCTTGCCCATTCCCCAACTCTCAATCTTTATCTCACCTCTTCTGTTCATCTACAGGTTATGGAAGAATGCCTTATGAAGCTCAGCCAGCTGGACTGAGTCCTGAAGCCAAATCTGCTGGCAAATATGGTGAGAAAAATCTAAAATTCTCATAAACTGCCCTGTTTTTTTTTATATAAAGCTACTGCAAAGTAGTGGCTAATTTAGCTTAGCATTAACTGTAAACAAGGAGACTCAGCTAGCCATGGTAATCTAATTGCTATATCCTATTTGTGCTCCTACCAAATGAAAAACACCAATGTAATACAGGATGGTGCCCCTTTTTTTATGCTAAGCTAAGTTAGCCGACTCCTGGCAGTAGCTTTAAATTTACTATACAGGCATAAGAGAGGTGGCATTTTTTCTAATCCTGACAAGACAGAAAGTTAATACATGTATTTCCAAAAAATGACTAACTTTTCTTTTATGATTAGTTGATGGAAAAAAAGGAAACTATAAAAATTAGATAAAAATCTTCTGAAGTAAGAGCCCTGAAACCTTAGGCTGGCCAGTTTTGAAGAACATACATAAGCATTTGTTATTCTGCTGCTGTTTGTGTTTAGATTTTTGTTGTTTTTGAATAAATGTTTTCTTATACATATGTATATATGTCTTTTCTTACAGGTCCAGCTGCAGCACAATATCAGCCTGAGCATCATGGACTTGGACAGAATGGAAAATTAACAGGCAAATATAATGAGATTCAGCAGACATAAAACCTGTCCTCTAACTGTCCCTTTATTTAATTATTGTTTTTGAATTTGTCATCTCTGTGTGCTTTCAAAGGTGGTGGTGAAGTTCCCTACGCACCTCAAGCTCTTGGTTATCAGGGTCAGACAAAGTCTTCCAGTAAATACGGTACAGAGCACTCTTTAATTTGTTATTTTAATAACAATCTTTTTTTGTCTGTCTGTATTTTAATTTGTTTTGTTTTTTCAAATTGTGTCTCATCAACAACTCTCCACAGGTAACCAGGGACCCTACCAGTCACAGCCACTTGAATCTGCATCTGAAGTCAGATCTGGTGGAGGATATGGTATTTATGGTTAACTAATCATTTTTGTTGGAATTGCAAAAAAAAAAAAGTGCTTTGATCTCAGTTTTTGTCTTACACAGAAACTGCTGGTTTATCTTATGAACCGCTGCCTGTGGAGCCTGATTCAGCAGTAAAATCCTTCGGTGGGTGATGGAAAATATTTCACAGCCTAAATGTACAGCAGCCAGATATCTTCTTCTTCTCATGTTGTCTTTTTTTTCTTCTGCTCTCTTAGTGAAGGGAGGGGTACCGACCCCAGAGATTGCAGTTGAAGGGGACGGGATTGATAGATATGGTCGGTATATTTCTGCATGATTGCTTTTCTTTTTTCCATCACTACATGAGGTAACGTTTATCTGTTTGTCCCTCTCAGAAAATGTGGGCTATATAAACGGACAAGTGCAGCCAGAAGGTAAAACTAAGAACACTAGATTCAATTAAAAATGTGACGGATATAAAATTACAAGTTCAAAACAAAAACATTCACTTTTTGTTTTCCCTCTGTCCTGTCCTTTCTGCTGTCCCCAAAGTTGTTAATTTCCCAGCAGCCCCAACTCCTGGCCCCACTCTGGACTACCCCTCTGTCCCGTCCTACATGCAGGTGGACTCCTCCTTCACTCCTGATGCTGTACCTGAAGCAGGTGTAGAGGACCTACCTGACCCTGCAGGCACAACGAGCCTCACCTTAGACTCTGCAGCCGCTACAGAAACGCAGGGTGTTCTTCAGCTGCCTGATCAACCTGATGATGAGCAGCAGCTGCCACGTCAGATACACATCCAGCAGCATCTTAAACTGCATTTTCACCAAAAAGGCAAGTCCAGATGAGGTTAAAATACAGTTACCGAAAGTAAAGAGAATCCAGCAAAGTGTTTGGTGGGAAGGAAGTTGAAACATGAGAACAGTAGAAGAGAGGAAGATGAAATAATTCAGGATTTTTATTTTATTTTAGAGTTAAATTGACTTAGCTCAGAAGGTTTAGTTTTGGATGTAATTTTCCTTCCGTTGTTTCCATGAATAATGTGGGAAAGAAAGCGGTCTAATGACTTCTATTTAAAATCGTGACCTTAAAGCTTTTCTTGTATCCTTTAAATACATTACTTAAAATGTACTGGACGCCTCGTCTGTTACCTCAAAAACCAGCAAGAGAGCGTAGAGGTTTACGCTCAGAGGTGTCAACAGGCAAGGCAACTGCTTGGGGCCCCAGGCCACTTAGGGGCCCCCCTGAGGGCTGACAAACTTTAAACCACAGTAGTAGCTCAAAATGTGCAAATTTGCAATGACAGTAGGAAACTCCCCAAATGGGGCTCCATCTGACAGCACTCACTCTCATTACCCTGCTTAGCATCTCGTGTATGACTCCTGTGAAAACCAAAGTTTGTCAATGAAAATCAAAGAGGAAGAGCGTCAGGACACTGGTAGATATAATGATGACTGGAGGGGCCCCCCAATTATTATTTTTTGCCTCAGGCCCCAACAGACTCCAGAATTGCCACTGTTTATGCTGCATATAGAAAAAGATTGATAACTTTTTTTTTTGCTTGAGATGTAGATGATACTGCTCTCATATCTGTAAAGTCACTGTAGAGCTACAGCTAAGAGTTGCTTACAGCAGATTAGTTCAGAATAAAGAATGGAAACAGTTAGTCTGCCCACAGGGAAGAAAGTTTACCAGCCAGAACCTTTAAAGCTCATTGAGTTACATGTTACACCAAATGTTCTCAAATTAGACACAAAACTAAGTGTAAAAAAAACATTTAACATGCAGAAAAAGTGTAGGGCCTCTGCGTGTCAGGTTGTCGTGTCCTCAGGTAAAATTTGTTATGAATTGTCGATGTACAAATACATGTTAAGTGAAACTAAGGGGCTACTGGAGTCAGTTTTCCAATTAATGCATATAAAAAAGAGGTGCATCAGTCTTGTTGTTTAGTACTAAGCAAGAAAGCCAAAATATGTATTTCCCAAAATGTCAAACTATCCCTGTAAGCAGAAGATGTAAATCCAGACAGAGGCTTAATTAGCTTTGAAAAGAATATGTAACCAGTGTTAGTTCAACATGTGTATCAGTAATACAAAATCGTAATAACAGTTGTCATGTTTGTCCTTATCTTCAGGAGCAAAGAATGGAAAATACGACTTGAACGGCTTCTTTGGGAATGGTGGCTACCAAGGTGAGAACTGAATGACTCTGATCCTTTTTGAGTTTGCTGTTTTTCTCGACTCTTCACTCATCTGTGTGTTTTCTTTCCTCACAGGTTAACCACAACGACAACTATCATCTGCCGTTGTAAATTATTTTTCCGCTGTTTCCAAGTGTACATTATTCTTACTCTCTTCTGTCTGTAGAATAGTCCGTGTGTTTTTGTTTGTTTGTAGTGATATCATTTAGACGTTTGGAGTTGTTAGGTTATCTGTTCATGTTTATTGTGATGTGTCTTCATTACCTTTATGTCATGCACTTACTGTTTACTCTACATGAAAAGATTTAGTTAGAGGAGCAAAGAAGTCAGTTAGTTTTTTTTTTTTTTTTTTTAAATTGATGCTATTTACTCAAACTAATCCTGTAAAATGCAAAGCAGTCAATTTATTTTGCATGGGAAAGGTTTTCACTACTTGTTGCAAAGCATCTGTTTATAACTGTACAGAATTTGAATAAAACCATCAATGAATACCGACAATATCCCCTCATCTATGTGTGTGTTTCTATATACCTCTGATATTGTGTTTATCCCCTAGTCATCACGAGAGTAACACAGCTGTATATTAGCATGAGGAATAGGAACATATGTGTAATAAGTGAAATACTGAATAAATCAATGTTCACCTTAAAGCTGAGGTGTGCGTCACTTATGAGCCACGACACAGAGCAGCTGCCGCAGAGCACATGGCTATTTGTAAGGATTAACTCCAGCTTAAGGATAAGAACCCTTTGCTGATTGGTCCTGCAGAAAGCATGCCACTTTGCCAGCTCAACAGGTTGCTTGCTTGGAATTACACCTGTCCAATGATGGATTTCAGGTAGCAGAGCTTCAGCTCGTTTGTTGTCATGTCCGTGCCCGGGTGTCCTCTGAGCGCGGCCTCGTTTGGAATGTAAATGTTGAGGAACCTGAACTTTCAACTGAATGTGAGGGCATCAGGAAGTCGTGATGGTGCTTTACAAAGGGCCACGGCTGCTGGAGTTTGCAAAGACCCCGACGCATCTTCAGTTCAACAAATATGTCCTGACAGGTTACCGGCCGGTGTCCACAGCTCAGGAGTGCGTCAGGAGCCTCTTCTACTTGCACAATGAGCTGGGGAACATCTACACACATGGTACGTCCAGAAATCAACGGTGCTTTTATAATATTTTTTTCGAAATCTCCTCCAGTTTCTTTTTGGATTGAATGTAAAAAATGTGCATTGAATTATCTGAATCATTCCATTCAGATAGGATGATTCCCTGCAGTTAAATACACAGAGCACTTTTTCCTCACCTTGTGTCCTTTTAACTCATTCAGGGGAAGTAAAAACAATACAGGTCACAGATATCCGATACTCTCACTTATGGCCGGTTACAAGCATACTTAAAGTAATGAGTGAGGATATGGGGTATTAGCTGTAATCTGCCTTGGGAATCCCTGTCTTGGAAATAACCTTGAGGTAATTAGGTCTTGTGAAGGTGTGTGACCTTTTTTTACGTTGCAAATTCCTAAATACATCCTCATGGGAACAGCTTGCATGTAAACACATGCTTGCATAGATTGCATGCAGATTTAATATGCAAACATATTCTAAATGTGCTTTTCATTTGTGGGTTGCAAACTTGTCTGAAGTCTTAAAAATAGAAAGATGGAAGTTTGTCTGAGCAGGAGCTAAAAGCTGCACAGCCTTGAACTTTCAAAGCTACCCTCCTCACTCCATTTTCTCCTTGGATATCCTGTAAGTTCATTAAGGCTAACACTCTAATTAAGAGGAAGTGTTGGGTATTATCTGAGGAGCACTTCCCAAACACTTGTAGCCGACTGCACAATGTTCCTGGCAAAGAAACAGACAGAGGAAGAACTCTGACTTCTAAAATCCTCAAATAGTTCTGCAAAACAAAGTCATAAACCTAGAATATAAACACCATCCTACAAACATAAACTTAACTTGCTCACCTTTGTAGAAGTCAATAATATTTTTCCAGTGGCTGATTTCATCTCAATTCTCTTCTTTCCTCTTCTGTCTCATCTCCCATAAACCTCAGGCATACCTTTTTTCCTTTTCTTGGTGCTGCTGCCTTTCAGCATCCCCTGGGAGGAGGTGGACAGCGTCTGGATCTGTGTGGTCCACTACTTGGCCTGCCTCTCTCCCACGGTGGGCTCAGTGGTCTACCATGTGTTCATGAACCATGTGGGAGGAGAGCATGTGTACGACACCCTGCTATCCCTGGACATGTTCGGGGTCTGCTTGGTAAACACCCTTGGTAGGTTCTCCCTGGATTCTTCTCTCTCTCTCTTAGTGGAAATTGTTCTATGCCATTTATTAGAATATTAGAATAATGTCTACCCTTTTAAGAGACATTGCTGTTTTCTCTTGTCACCAGGCGCACTCCCCATCATCCACATCACCCTTTTCTGTTACCCGGTCCTGCGACAAACTGCCCTGCTGACCTACATCGTCTTGTCAACCTACAGCATCTACTGTGCCACCACAGCCCGCACCAACGTCCTGCGCCTGCGAGCATTTGTGTGGCAGGCCCTGTTCCGCTTCATCCTCTTCCTTTTCCGGGTGTTCGGCAGTGGGGTGGGCAGCCCCGACTCACTTCGCCTCTTCGTTATCATGGACTCTCTCGCTGTGCTGGGAGGACTGGTCAACATAATCCAGATCCCGGAGCGCTTCGTCCCGGGCCTGTTTGACAACTGGGGCAACAGCCACCAGATCATGCATGTCATGGTCATTTGCTCCATTATCTACCTGCATTGGGGCACACTGGAGGATTTAGCCTGGATTAAGACCTACCAGTGTCCGACTGAGTGATGCCAAGTGTATCAAGTTCACAGACAGGATGCACTCAGGGATACGCTGATAGGAAACAGATTAGGCTTCATAAGGCAGGAGGAGTACAGCATAAGCACAGAGTGGTCTAAAGATGCACTTTAGTTCTAGCTGCTGAAAGGAAATTTGACACTTGTCCAGAGCAGAACAGGAGGAACCTACAGTGTTGTAACTGTGGAGCTCCGTTATCACTTGATCAAATTAAAAATCCTGAGCATACTTGATTCTTAGTTTGTTGAAATGCAGTAGTTCTGGGTTGTATTACCCATTACAAAAATAGCTGTGAAAATGGAAAAAATTACATTATTTTCTGAATTAAATTATATATTTTTTATAACCGACTACTACTTGTGGTTATTCATGCATGGTGTGAATGTAAGTAAAGTGCAATATGGGTTTGGGTAAAAGCTTGTGTTTAATTTAAAGACATCTGATGAAAAATCGCTTTTTTTTTTTATTGCTTGATAAGAACCACTTCAATAACGGTTTTCCTCTAGACTTGGCAACAAATGTTACATTCCTGTTTATTTGCATTCTGATGAACTTCACCCACCTTCAAACCGAAAGCATCAAAGCACCGAAAACTGCATTAAATTATTTGAAACTATGGTCACTTTAGGAAAAAGGTTGTGTAGATTACACTTAAAGGGAGAGTTGCTGCAGCGGTGGGGTATGTAGACAGTTTCACAGCAGCTTTATTGTTAATCAATCACTCTCATTATGTATTCCTGTGTTATCGCTGGACCACCGTCCTCTCCTCTCTCTGCTACATTTCTGCCGATCAGTCTTCATCCGAGCTGCTATCCTCAGGCTCTGATAGGTCAGCGATGGGAAACCGCAAGATGGCAGCAACTCCGCTCAGCTGAGTCAGTTCTGAGGAGGACACAGTTCAAGAACAAATCATAAAGTGACGGTACAAAGACAGCCTCAAATGTAGTAAAGCAGCTGTAGAGTTTGTATATCAATAAAAGAGAAAGTCAGGGCCTTAATGTTCGGTGAAAGTCCAAAGTTTATTGCTGTCAATTCTGTGTGCTGAACTGACACCAATAAATTCCTCCTGCAATCAGTCATCAAACATTTACAGCTCCTGATACTGAAATGCTGTTATTTAACTCACACGCTCAGCAGAATGATGTGATTCATGGTACAGAAAAAAGGGCGTTTAAAAGGAAGCAGATGGATTTTTCACTTTTAGAGTCAAAGAGAAAGCTTACTGTGAGACCCCCGAGCATGAAAAATACAAGTTGTGTTTTGTAATTTACTTTGAAGTTATTTTTTCAGGATTAAAATATAATCAACATCTTTGTTATTCCTTGGAGTCAAAAAATGATCACCTGAAGAAGACCTCTGGTCCAAATGTTGTGATTCATTAAAACTTTTTGTGGCATTTGAGCAAGCTCCACAGTCTGCTGATTTTCCACTGCCCTCCATCTACATGATGTTCGTATAACTACCTCTTTTTTTTTTCTCTCATTCCTTGGAGTAACCCATAATGCAACTGGTAAAAATAACTCCACATAATAGAATAGAATAGAAAGCGATATGATAACACAAGAGTCCTCAGAGTGTCTTCAATGTACGAGGTACAAGGTTGACAATTTAGTCAAATATTAGTAATATTTGTCAAATCGCAATATGCCGCTTTAATGTTGAATTTATTAAATTCTAAATCAAACTTACGTTCACCAGACACATGAAGGCTTGAGAATATTCTGAAAAGAAAACAAAAAAGAGAAAACAAATCAGACGTATTCTTCATGAAGGATTTTCCTCCAGTCCTGTTGAATGACAACACAGCATGCCTTTAAACAAAAACAAACAAAAAAACACTACCTGACATTGCCGCCATTGTCTCTCACGTTGTCCACCAAGCGAACGTAACGGCTTCTTGTGGCAACATCCTGATGTCTGAAAGAATACAGGCAGACCCACAAAACATGTGTCAAGACTAAAAGACGCTAACTGTGTTATTCTACATGATTCGGTCAACATGAATATCAGCTACACTTTGTTAAAGTTGCTGTGTGTATTTAAAAGCAAAGCGTCTCAGCGTGTACCTGAAAAGATTATCACTTATCAACAAGGTGTCGATGGCGAGGGCCTCAGTGGCTCTCTCCACATGTGCCAGTCTGTGAGGATAAAAGAATACAAAGGTTGTTTTATTACCATTGTGATAGAATGGGGAACAGTGAAGTGGTAGCCTTTTTTTCCGTCGGCCATCACTCACCCGTAAAAGGCTCTGTCAGGCTCGTGCTGCAGCATCTTATAGAAATCCTCCAGGGCTTTCACCTCTCCTGATGCCTGAACATGAACACCTGTCAGTCACATTTCTTTTCTTTTTTTTTTTTTTTTGGTTTCAAGCTTAAAGAGTGTTTGTTTACAGAATGATGAAATGCATCGTCACCTTTGTATCAGACAGCCTACTTGTCACAGTGGGATCAGAGAGGATTTCTGCAAAACAACAAGCATTTCACTAAATATTCACCTTCCCATTTCATTACGTTAACTAGTTCTCAGAGCCGGCAGCAGCTCGTACCTTTGAGAGAATACTTGTGACCTGATGACGAGTGGACCAGAATGAATTTGGGTCGGTTCTCCAGCAGCACCTTGTTGTCCTGTCTCACCGCCTCTTTGAAGAGGTAGGTCATGAACTGGTCTCGCACAAACCCTGGACTGGCTACCAGGAAGCACTTCACCACTACAAGAAGGAGAGGAGGAAAGAATGTTTGTAAGTGTAATAGTATTATTTTAAAATCTGTTTAAACTAATGAAGAAAAACAAGGAACAGCTAAGAGTAAATCAAACAGTATCATAAAGATGACAAATAAGAAAAGAGGAGGAGCATGTGACACAAAACAGGAACAGATTGATGTGTAAGCAGGTGTTAGTGTAAACGTGTCAGCGTCTAAACAGCGGCAATACCATCAAAATTGATGTGGCGAAGAATTGCCTGCATCACAGCCTCATAGAACCGCTCCAACGCCTGCAAACACAAAGACGGAGAGTTTGAGGCAACATGACGAGTAACCTTTTTTTTTTTTTTTACCAAATCAAAACAGTGTTTCCCCCATCGCTGAGCTCACAACTTCCAAGCACTTATAAGAGAGCTCCGCCTACCTTCTCGTGCTGTGTGCAGCTCCCCCGTCTCTTTCGAGGAATGGTGAGCTCCACCTTTGCTCGGAGCAGAGTCATAGCCGGGGTCACCAGCACCAGGTTGGCCAGACCTTCCTGCATCACCACAGCTGCTACGTCTGCCTTCTGGGTCGCATCACACGCCTGCTCTGAAGGGCAGCAATATATACATGTGTTCACGATACAGATTGAATATCAATATTAGTGTTTTCTTGTTAAGTAATCAGTACTTAGTCCCTGTAGTTGGTTTACTGCATCAAATTAACAAGACCACTTCATACTGAAGCAGCAATGACTCAGTGGACCTCCACTCCTTCAAAACATGAACCCATCTGTCAGTTATTCCCTTGTTTTTCTTGTTTCTCCCTATTCTGTTCCCATGGCAACCCTCCCTCTCTGTTGGCACTGTAAATAAATTAACAAGAGGACAGAGCTTTTTTTTATGTAAAAGACAGCCAGCTAAATGTCATCCTGTCAGTCAGGCAACACGGTGCTAATCGGCTATTCAAATATACGTCTGATTAATGGCGTCTGGTACAAGTCGTAGTAGTAGTTTTAAGTTACAACAGTAAGACAGTAGCTGATGGAAAGGGAGTAAAACACAATCAACAGCAGCCCGCGTCCAATAACAGTAAAAACAGTATCAAAACCAAGTTATCGAGGTGGTGTGTGGAAGGAAGTTCTGAAAGTAAAGATTACCGAGTTGAAATGTTTTTAAACAGCTCACCAATTCTGTCCAGCACGACGCTGTCCCAGCTCTTTTTAGCGAGAGTGAACTTCCTGTTGAGCTCAAGCTCAATAGTATGGTAAGCCCCCATCTAAAAAGTGAAGGACAAAATAAGAACGTACACTGTATCAGACAACGATTCACGTGTAGTACTCTCTTCATGATCTTAAAAATCTATTTTCAATCCAATCATCCTTTTTTTTAATCCTATGTAACATGTATCTTTCATTCGATGTATAAGATCTGAAGAGATGAGAGGACTACAAATACAGGTTTGATAGAAATGTCAGACCTTGACATACTGGTTCTCCTCTAAGTTAGTGCCTTTTACTCGCAGCTGGCAGGCCTGGGAGTCAAAGTCGATGGTCTCCACACATAATGTCAGCGTCGTCCGAACTCTGGAGCTGCCCACACTTCCAGTCTGGGATTCTGTCTGCACCTTCCTGTGGGAACATAGGACATGGTTTTTAAAACCAAAAAGACAGACATGAAGAGTGAGGGAAAAATACAAACTAAGCACAATCATTAGCAAACACAGATTGATTCCAATAAACTACATTTTAAAGTAGACATATTGGACATAGGCAACACTTACATTTGAACTACTGCTAAAGCAAATGTGTAGGAAACGGAGAAGAGTGTGTGTAGCCCTGCAGTGGTCGTTTGTGAATAAAGCATTATGTTGTAACGGTCCATTTTCTGTACAGTTATTACAGTCAACCTAAACATTGAGACTGCTTTAGCATAAAACTAAACAAATGCCTAAAATGACAGGATGGTGGATTCCAATCCTTTTAATTAAATGGGAAAAGTAAGAAAATGTCCAAAAAAGATGCTGTATCATTAAATCTAAAAAGCTTCTAGATCAGTGGTTCCCCCAAAGTGGGGTCGGACACCCTGGGGGGGGGGGGGGGTCGCAAGACACTGGGAGGGGGGTCGCGAGTTGCCTTCCAAAAACAAATGCAAACTGGAAATGACTTGAAATGACATATTTTACCTATTACTGCGAAATTAACTTACAAAAATGTTGTTCAATTAATTTAGGCTGCTGTATTTTTAAGTGTTGTTCTAATGTCAGTGTTTGGATAGGCCCCATTAGTGCGTGCTGCTGTGTGCACCGTTATGCTTTTACCACTTCCAGGGACAGAAGGGGTCCCCGGTCTCTGGGTTAGGGGGGGTTGCAGGATGAAAAGTTTGGGAACCCCTCTTCTAGATAACAGATTTGTTGCTAGTCGGACGCACTAAGTGGTTACCTTATGGTGGAGGCTCTGAGGCTGTCCCCGACTTGAAGCAGGTTGTAGGTGTGCCACATGTCCTCAGCCTCCTCTGGCATCAGAGTCACCTGGCTGAAGAGGTGCATGTCATGAACAAACTGGTTTTTGTTTGTGTGAGTCATTAATCAGGCGTGGTGCACATGGGTATAGATCAGATGAAATACAATCAGCTTTATAAACATTGTTCACAATAAGGCGGCTTATGATTAGTCATGAAAGCCCAAAAAAGTCTGTTGATTGAATCCTGAAGCTACAGCTGTGTTCAGGGATACAAACTATGTCCACACAGTAGTTCTTCATGGGCTCTGGGTGTTTTTATATATTTTTTTTTATCTCCTTGTAAATTACAAAATGAATTATAACACTCTCGGTTCTCTGTTGTATACAGGTGAATGTACATTACGGGCATTTACAACAACTAAGATGACACATGTACAGTCTGGTTAGCTTTGAAATGCTAACAGTCACTCACCCGGCATTATCTTTTTCAATATCTTTATGTAGCAACTTCATGGTCGGATGGTTCTCTTATATATACATACAAAATAGTATTATTCGCTTATAGTTGATAGTTTAACGTCCATCCGGGTTACATTCATGTTAAACTTTAAGTATCTTAGCAGAATAGCTTGGCTAAGTCATTTCTCAACTTCAGAATGAATCACTCGGTGCGGGGACATTACGTCACACCAAAATACGTCAATTCTTCCCAGCTTGGTCACTTCCGTGGGTGTCGCTGTACTGCGCAACCGATAAAGAGTAAAAAGAAGAGCGACAACTTGCGCCGATCGGGACAAAGTCGGTCAAAGCTCGCACTGTTTGGTGCATCTCACATTTTGAGGCGAAGAAAAGCGCGACATACACACGAAAATTACAGTTATTTTTAACATTGTGGTTTAGGCGTGAGTAAATGCTGACCGACATTGAAAAGAGCCAATCGGCGAGAACATTGGGTTTAAAAAGAACCCGCCCACTTCCATAATTGGCGAATCGGAGCGCAGGAGCCGCCAGACCTCTTTCCGTTCCACCTCGCTCCGAGCTAACGCGAATCTAGCCTCTTTTTTTTGTCGATGGCATGGTGCTAGTAGCTACGGCAGAAACACCGTAATCACGAGAAAATACAACTTCTTAAAACCGAATTCGACATTTTTTAATTTAAAGAATCCACTAAATCGGATTTTTTTTTTTTTAATTACATGAGAGCCGACACGACTTTAATATTTCCGCACCAAAAGCCTCATTTTCCGAGGTTGGCCATTTCTGCCCCAAGGTTAGCAAGCTAGCGGGCTAACGGTAGCCGATTAACGCTAACCTAGTAACTCGTTTTCTGATCATATTTTACTGCGAATTCGTGAAAGAAAAAGGGGCATTGCGCATAATTGAGGAATAGCATGGCAGAAGCCGATAAGTTGAACATCGACTCTATTATACAACGTCTGCTGGAAGGTAAGACAGTGTTTCGCTCGATATAATTCACCGAGGTAGCCATTTTAGCTGCGAGAAGCTAGACAACGATAGCCACCTATGCTATGCTCTCCAGCTTAGTTCATCTCTTGTTTGTTACCAGAAACACCCTGCAGACCGCCAGTAATGTGTGGTCAAGTATCTCCCTCAAGTATATAAATGTTTTTACAACTCTTTGGTGTATCGCAACACTTTTTTAAGTTTATCATTAAGCCGGTTTTTCACTGTACCCGGAAAAGCATCCGCAGCTAAACGTTATTCACCGTCAATGTGTTTGTGTTGTTTATTACTTTTTTTAAAACGCTTTAAAATGAATTCAAAACAATGAATGTGAATTGTTTGTTTGTTCTGCTTTAAGGGTCAAAGGGCATTTGCCGCGCGTTTGGGCACGAAGGTCACAATAACAAAACCCAAATGTTATTGTAATGTTTGGTCCACAGATTCCTTTATTGTTTTTTCATAATGTGCATTTAAATAAGGTTTGCAGGACAAACTTAGATATGAGATTCATTACATATTTAAGTAAGTTAAGTCCAGGGTGTTCCAGTGTTCACTCCTTATTGGGTTACTCTGTGAGTAATCTTTTATATTTCCCCACAAAGGACAATAAATGTTAATTTTTCACTGCTGTTCATTCCCCATCAGACATTTTTTTGCAATTCAATTTTCAATTTCTGCGTTGTTTTGTCTTATTCCAACATATCTAACACAAATCATAATGGCCTTAATGGGAATAATGTCTAAAGGTTTAGTTTCCAGATGAGAAACAAAGCCCAGACTCGGCAAACATAAAACAATGTCGTATTTTAAGCATTATTCTTCACACAATTATGAATAGACGTGTTTCAACTCGATAACACAGTAGTATCACAAAGGAGGTGTGTTGTGTAAAATGTTTTTACACTGCTCTGTCTCATTCTTGCTTTGCTTTATCCTCACAGTGAAAGGCTCCAGACCTGGCAAAAATGTTCAGCTGACAGAGAATGAAATCCGTGGCCTCTGCCTCAAATCCCGAGAGATCTTCCTCAGCCAGCCAATCCTGCTCGAACTCGAGGCGCCCCTCAAGATTTGTGGTGAGGATTACTTTGTGTTCTGTGGAGTTGAAGGAGTTTGCATGTTAGGTCACACATTAACAAACACTCGCAGATGGCTGTCATAGCTGTTAATGATATTATTGTAATGCTCAAATTATCCATTACTTTTTATTACTGAATCACACTATATATCGGAGCAGTCTTATTTGAAACAAACGATGGTAAAATCTTGAGGATAGCATGCAGCTCATGGCTGTGACCTTGTCACATAATTCAGAGCCATAGGGATACTGATAATATTGGCTCTCCACTGCAGTGCTGTTTTGCACTTGAAGTCTCCCTGGAGTTGCCCTCCTGTGTCATTCTGCCGATGCTTCTTAATGAAGAGCGAAACCTTAAAGGAGCAGTCTACATATTTCAGTAACTGGCTATATTTGCTCTGTGAAGTGAATCACCTGCATCTTCACACTTAATTCTGGCTTGTCTATTCACTTATTTGTCTCGGTTCAACAAAAAATAAAATGTTGTCAATTTTCAAGGCGCCAAGTGTTGTTGTACCTCTATCAAAGTCTCTGAGCTTTTGTTTTGCATATACACAAAGCATTATTATCACACTGCTCACCAACACACTGCTCTTTTCACCAGGTGATGTTCATGGGCAATACTATGATCTGCTGAGGCTGTTTGAATATGGGGGCTTCCCACCAGAGAGCAACTACCTGTTCCTGGGGGACTACGTAGACAGAGGCAAGCAGTCACTGGAGACCATCTGCCTGCTGCTGGCTTACAAGATCAAATACCCAGAAAACTTCTTTCTGCTGAGAGGAAACCACGAGTGCGCCTCCATTAACAGAATATATGGATTCTATGATGAGTGTAAGTCACACAACAAGTGTAAAAATACAGACATAAATATTACATCTGCTGTCAACAGTTTCCAGACGTTTGCTAATAACTAACTTACTTTTTTTTAGTAATCAGTCAGAGGTTTCCAAACTTTTTGCCTTGGAGCATCCCCTACTTGTATCTATAAAAAAGCTTTTATCCAAAAGATCTTTCTATAAACTATCAAGTATGTGTTTTGTTGTGATTTTAGTTGGTAAGTTCAGATCTTAATTTTGACACCATGGAGCAGAGTGGGCCCCCCAGGGAGAACTGGAACCCATGATGGGAACACCAGTGATCTTAAGTGATACAGTCATTGTTCCTTATTTAGGTATTTTCAGTGTTAAAGCCTGGAAAAACAAAGTAATGTAACTTTCTGATGAAATTCTGAAATGCACTTGAATTATCATCTTTTAAGTGTTAACTAAAATTGTTTTAAGATATACCTTTTTTACATAAACACTTCTCTATTCTAACAGTTTTACTAACCGTTCTGTTATCTCCATCTAAAGGCAACCAAAGGGTTACAAGAAAAGCTGTTGTAGACTTGAGAGTTACATCATGCACGAGATCGCCTCCCCTTTTACAGTGTCAGCTGTTAATGTTGCCAGTTTGTTGACATGTTTTCATTATCAAACAACAATATGATTTACTTTTTAATGGGTCTACAAATATATGTGTAGTGTAATCAGAAGAACTGCAAGTATTTTGAGTAAATCTGACTTTTCAAACCTGCAGTAGCAACAACATGGATAACTGCTCACACTGGGCGTGGGGCTAAGGAGTGTGATCAGGCAGCAGTGATTAATCACATGCCGTTCCCTGCTATTCACAGAGTCAGGATTATGTAAAATGTTGCTAATGTGATGCAATGGGTGCAGCTGCTGAGACTTTATTGCTCTGAAGATAAGATTGTGACAAATTACCTGCTGTTTGCTCCCACAGGCAAGAGGCGATACAACATTAAGCTCTGGAAGACCTTCACCGACTGCTTCAACTGTTTGCCTGTTGCAGCCATTGTTGATGAGAAGATCTTCTGTTGCCATGGAGGTATCCTCATCAAACAGTTCATTTTGCTCTTATCCAGAGCACACACACAAACTCGCCCCTGCACTGTTGTTACTGTCAACATCATGGTCAAAGGCCTGCACAACTGTGTGGGAGCTTAACATCTTGTTTGACTATATAGACACACATATATATGTGTCCTGTTTAGTAATGAGGGCTGCTCTATATTTTAAATTTCTTTTTACACTGTTGCTAACAAGTAGGAACACGCTGAGCTCGGGGGCGGGGGGTGGTGGTGAAATCAAGAAAGAAAATATGAAGTAACATGTCTCTCACTATATTAAAGATTAAAAAACACAGTGAAAAAGAAAGTGAACGGTTAGGTCGTGTATCTGAATATTTCTTGACGCTCGGGCCCTAGGCCTCAAACAGCGTGACACCAGCAGCCAGTCACGGCTATCTCATGTTTTTGAAACCCACGACACAAAATATGTAAACAGGCGCTGATAATCATGAGGGTAAACTCAGCCTCACTCTTGGAAGCAAAAAAAAAAAAAGTTCTATAATGCATAAGAGAATATGTTGAGTCTTCGCTAGAGTTTTTCAGCTGTTCAACATGTTGAAGTTCAAGTCCCATTCTTTAACTTTATCCCTTAAATGTTGTTTCAAACATTCACAAGGAAATTATTTCAACACTTGATTTTAAACCTTAAAAACATGCAGATATCCCAGAAACCAACGTGATATTTAAGATGACTTGGCTTTCTGATCAAAAATAGATCATCCAAAGATATTCCCTGAAGATCTCCGTGACAAAGAAATTATAATTTGTAAGATTATCTGATAATAGAATTATCAAATTATTAGTTAAATATTTCAGATTTAAAAAAGCAGTGTTCAGCCATGTTTCCTCCTCTGTGTTTATAAACATTACAGAGGTGTGTAAACAGCACGCTAGAGCTTCTACGATATCTAGATTAACATCATGATGCAGATTTGTAAAAAGTAACATGTCAGGCTTTGTGAAGTCTGTCCTCAAGAGGAAAAGAAAACTAAATGCACTCGCGGTAATGACACTGATATATTGGTCTCACCCATTTTTAGGATGCAGCCAACTTTCTAGATGAAAAAAGCAGCTATCACAGTCCAGTCCACGTTTATGAAAGTGTTCAAATGAATGCATTCATCATTGTGTGGAGAAACAGATACGCTTAAAGATTTGAAAATGACCCAAAACACAACAAAGACTAGATCATAATCATGAAGTCGAGCAGAACTTTAAGTCCTGCCTTTGTCTGGTTTTAGTTTTTCTGTCCCTGGTGAACTTAAAATGTAGCTCTATGTACACCATTACAGGTGCTTAACTCAAGTTCTTCTGCTGACATATCACTGTTCTTGCCTTCTCCAGGCCTCTCCCCAGACCTCCAGTCCATGGAGCAGGTGAGAAGGGTCATGCGTCCCACTGATGTGCCTGACCAGGGCCTCCTCTGTGACCTGCTGTGGGCCGACCCAGACAAAGATGTATTGGGCTGGGGCGAGAACGACCGTGGTGTGTCCTTCACTTTTGGCGCCGACGTGGTCACAAAGTTCCTACACAAACACGACATGGACCTCATTTGTCGGGCCCATCAGGTGAGTGCATGACCTTGACTCTCAGGTCAAAGACATGTTAGCAGCAGGAATGAAAAGCATGAGTAAGAGAGAGGAGTAAATTAACAGTATGCCATCCCCTTTTGTTTTGAGGGGTTTTTACTTTAAGCAAAGTCACAAGGTTAGTACTTTTATCGAACAAGCTCGTCCAGCTGTTAGGCATGTTTTGTAGAAAAATGAGGGGCAACAGCTGATTAGTGTGGATAGTCCCAGGACCCTCCACTATCAGTACTAGGTAGACACACTGAGTGATAGCTGTGTAGTAATATTTTAATTTTAATTGTTGGAACTCTTCATAATACAGATTCATTGTATGCATATAGAAATGTGTTTTTCTCTCCCACTTCTTATTAACAGCCTGTTAACCTACTGATATATCTGTTTCAGGTGGTTGAGGACGGCTATGAGTTCTTTGCAAAGAGGCAGCTGGTGACGCTGTTCTCTGCCCCAAACTACTGCGGCGAGTTCGACAACGCCGGCGCCATGATGAGTGTAGACGAGACCTTGATGTGCTCATTCCAGGTGAGACCAATCAGACCATGTGGGGAAACTCAGATTTAGTTAAAGCTGGCCTTGTGTTTTGTGTTCATTGTGTTTTTGATATCTCAACTTGAGTATAAGCTGATTCCTAGTGTGATGCTTGGTACAATGTGTGCCATATGAAATATGACAAACATAGTTGTTGACAGTTTTACATTTTTAGTTTTAAGTGTATTAGTATTTTAACAACTGTAGAAAATCTGAATGTTACGGTCATTCAGTTTGTTCACATGCACAGTTAACTTGACCTATGCTTGTAGCCCAATAAGGCAATTTGATTGGACTGCTGTGCTTGTCCCAGTATACAAGACCAGGGAGAATACATTTATGGATGGAAGTATGTCTGACTCCCTTACACTAGGTGGCAATATGCCCCCTTTCAGCTAGTTACTATTGGACCTTCTTCCTGTTGCCCGTGTCAATGTGTGTAGAACGGTGACAAAATGAGCAACTTAACAGCTCTGTAAAATTTGTACATGCTCTGTTTTACTTTTGGTCCAAAGGGATGCAGACCATCCTTCTAGCGTACGGTGATATCTGAATGCAGACAACAATTCTGCTATGCTTCACATCGATGCCGTTAAGAGCGGGAACTGTAGGGCATGTTAGCAACACAGAGACCAGTTGGGGACCGATTGAGGCGTATGCATGCAGGAGTAAATTGATCCCCAACGACAATATGTAGGTGTCTAACTCTGATAAATAAGACTTGGTACACTTTCAGTCGGGCTAACGTGTTTACATGCATGTTAAAAGTCCTGTTTAGTCAGACTTGCACAGTAAATCAACCTTTTTGTAAACGCACTCATTGTTGTCTTTTTGTCTCGCTCCACAGATTCTGAAACCTGCAGATAAGAAGCTGTTCTATGGTGTGGGGTTGAGCAATAATCGCCCTGTCACTCCCCCAAGGAAAGCTAAGAAATGACACCCGTAGTCTGCCCTCGAACTCCAACCCATCCCTCCTGCCCTCTCTACCTCTCTTCTCCTTTCTTTCACCAAACAGCCAGAAATCAAACCTATACCCAGGGCTTTTTTCCTTTTTTATCTGTACTTCTTAAAACATTTAATGTTACGAATTGTCTGAGTGAATGCGTGGGTGGATGCGTGCGTGCGTTCGAAGATGACGAGCGCGTCTCATCTGCGGGTGAGCATTAAAATCATGTGTGCACGTTTTCATTTTGTGTGAGAGTATTAGAGATTTATACTTTCCCCTCTCTCTTACCACTCTTCCCGCGGAAAGGTCGAAACCACGGTGTCTGTCTGTACAGTAATTTTGACTGAAAAGCAAGGTGTCGTGACAGTGGGAGATGCTGTATTGATGAATTTGGAAGCACACCCCTGCCAGCGGGTGATGTATGTGTACTTGTGGAGAGGGGAAGTATTTTGTTTTCCCTGTCCTCTGTACTGTAAAATCTCAAACACAGGTGTGTGCATGTGTGTGTGTTTGCGCTTTGGGTGTTTTGCCTGAGGGTGGCGTATCCTTACACGGGAGCACTTGCCTACCCACACACATACACACACTTATGCGTATGACTCTTCAGATTCATATGAGCCAGAGCTGTAAAAACCCCATACAGTTTAGGTTTGTACAGATTTGATTACTTGAAAGAGATTTTTTGTGAATTCGTTTTGTAGTCTTTCATCAAGTTGACCAATAAAGCGAGAATCTGAGCTACCAAGTCTCCTGGTTATTTTTCCTCTTACCTGTGTCTATATTTTTTAAAACCAGCAGAATGAAATGACATTTTCAAAGATCAAACAGGTTTTGAATCATTTATTATTTTTTAAATTATTTTTTCTAGACCTGACTCATCATTTGTTTGTAACAATGTGTGAAACTCCTCTCACACTGGTACAAATGATTCCCTTACTAACTTGATAAATGTCTGTCAAATACTCCAAAATCTGTTGTTTGATTTATCTTCACACAGGACTAAAATTAAGAAACAACCCATTCATTGAGATATTAAACCATTTAAGTATTTCAGACAGTATGAATTATTTTATTTTGAGCCAACAAGTAAAACAAAAAAAAATGTTCACAATTAATTAAAACAAATATACAAACATATGCCCAGTTTGTTTGTCCCATAAAATGATTAGTATTGAGTCATTTGTATTAACATGAATTACATTTAATGTACATCTATTTTTGATTTCCTGCCTGAGACATTTGATAGACTAATTAACTTCTAATCGGTTATAATTCAAATACTCTGTCCATTATCTGAAACATTTCTCTTTATTCTTGTTCCTTCAGTGACTGCTCCGTGGTAAAAGTGGTTTCTACATTGCTCTTTTTTTACTTTTCCTGAGCTTTTCACTCAAACGCCCTTAAAAGCATCTCACTCAAAATGTCTAAAAGAATATTTGTCAGACCGTTTGCACACAATGACTACTTCAGTCTGAAGTCAACCAAACATTAATGACAAGAATGATATATTCATTTATTTACCTTTCATTCACACATAATCGATATGCTTCACAAAGCCAACTTCGCTTCAACTGCAGTTCTTTTTTAAAAATCTGAATGTGCAGTTTGTGATGTTCCGCTTTTGTCCACAAGGCTGTGCTGCTGAGCTCTTCTAAGCATCAGATCAGTGGAGTCATACAGTAACCATGAGTAAAAACCACGTGTTGGGAGCAAAGTTAGCAAAATGCTCATTGCTTTGACTTAACCAAAAGAAAGTAAACATTTAATTTCTGCTTGATTTATGCCCTAAACTAACACTGGCTCTTCACCTCTGAAACTGTTAATATTATATATAATAATATGTTAATATTATATTATAATTTATATTGTTCTAAACTGGTAAATCAAATGTGATGAGTAATAGTCAACTTTAGTTGCTGTAAAGTAGCTGCGTTGAAAACTGTGTACCTCTCTTTGACATTCCTCATTCTATATTTATCAGTTCAGGATCCTGTTTCTTTCTGAGGCATTTCTTTGGATCTGTTTGCATTCATTCGTCTTCCTGTCATCAACCCCCTTCTTCAAGGCGCTGGGTCCATCATTGTGCCATCCTTTAATAAGAACTCTGAAGTAATGGGTTGAAGGGTATAGTTTAGGGCCGGGAGGGTTCAGATTTAATACAAAGGAGTAAGAAGAAAAGGGTGATTCACTGAATGTAATTTTTACAGTACATATCCTTTACCAAATTGTATTTTATCATATCGTGATGTTGAAAACCATGAGGTGTACATGAGGCAAAATGTGTCAGCTGTGTTTCTTCACTGCTTCAGGGTGTCTCTCCTACACGTGCAGACTCAAAGTCACCCTTGGTCATTCTGTCTTGTCTCTGGCTGAGGATAAGATTATGTTTCAAAAAATATAGTAAGGATTAAGATGTGAGCCTGTAGGTTTCCTGTTACCAACAAGAAAAGGTAAAATTCACACCTACATCCATACAGTTCTGGGTCCTGTCCATTTTTGTGGGTGTAACATACCTAAGTCATAGCAATCATCCCAAGAATAGTGTCTTGGTTAGATAACAGAGCTCGAAATAGACAAGACACTGAAGATGTAGTAGAAGTTCATCTTTCAGATGATACCAAATACTGTACATGCTGGTTCATGCAGCTATTCTCCTCTGAAATACTTCACTGCTGAATTCATGTCTGATGTCAAGGCTGCGCAGTCTGCTTGAAACATACTATGATTTTGCAACAGAGTAACAACATAGTAGTCGTATGCTGTAGTTTATAATAGTCCTGTTTTATGAAATCTAATCCAATGAATGTATAACACTGTGCCAGTAGATGTACTATAAAGCTCACAGTGTGATCTATGGAGCTTCAGGGCTTGAATTCATCAGAGGTGATGAATTTTCTTTCTTAGAAAATATGTACTTAAGTCTAGATAAAACTGAGAGGAAGTACAGACTAAAAACTGTCTAAAAGAGCAAAATGTAAAGAATGGAATATGCATTAGTGTCATATCATCCTCATGACTACATTAGGTTAGATGCACATCACATCAACATTCTCCTTGCTAATATCATCATTAAAGGCTCTACGTGAAGCCATTAAGATTTAATAGTCATCTCATATTCAAATGTATTAACATGTTGTAATGCAACTGAAAAACAATGCAACAATATCTAATGCCAAACAAATACCCACCACAACCTAGTCCAACCAAATGTTTAATCATCTGTCTGTAAAAAGCTAGCTAACAAACACAGTGACACAGCTAGTGAGCTAATGTTGCAAAAGGCTATTTTAAGTGACATGAAATAAGTCAATTCATCCAAAGTCTTTGGCTGGTTAAGTGGCTCACTTGCAATTTCCAAAACTTTATCTGCTTATGTTTTAAAGTGAACTATATCTATGTAGCTGAGTCAACGCCAGCTGGCTTACCTTAGCTTAGTTGCTCATAAATGTCGTATAGTAGTTGTACCAACAAAGTGAAAGTGCTGATCATGTAAAAAGTGAATTTAACCAGACCATAACATATTGTGAATGCATTCTCTATTTCCTGTTCATTGACTGACTCAAGGAAGCTGTGAGTCTCCTCTGAATTGATCTGAGTCAGTTAATGTCTGAATCCTTCGTTCCCAATAAAACGTCTCTGTCAGCAAATTAAGAAATGCCTTTTAAAAAGAGGCAGATCTAGCTTCGTAAATTACACCCCATCAGAAAAAAAGTGAATACAACTTTTGATCAACAAGCTCCCTTTCCTGTTGGCTCCCCTGAGGATTATATAGTACAGCCTTAAGTGTGAGGAATGGTGTGAACAACCGAGAACTCTTGGTTCCAGTGTGACACGCGGGTACTGATGGCACCGTGCAGTCGAATGTGCCCTTCAGCATCCTCACTTTTTTTTTTCCTTCCCCCCCCCCCCCCAATAGATGAACGTTAGACCTAAGAAGCTTGAACTAAACATCCAGCATTGTGAAATAAAAAAGCTCTAAAGCTGTCGTGGTGCCATTCTCAGCTGCACAGTGTCACCTGCTCTATTTATATCCCGTGAGGAATTCTGGATTCAGAGACTCAGCTGCCACTTCTATTATTACTATTAGCTAATGCTGTAACAAGTACCCCGCTAACTCAGATAATGTAGCTCCTTTATCCACTTTCTTATTGCCTATGACTAATTATGTCCTCACTGTCAATACTACACGTGTGCTGTACTATTTAACTTTATCTTGATTTGGAAGCCTAATTTGTTTTACACGTGGGTATAATTTGAAGTTAAAAGTGATGTCGTTGCAATATTCAAATATTATTCTGTTATACATATGTTCTGTATATGTATAACTCTTCAAAATATGACAACAACATTAAGGATATTTTGGACATAACACAAAGATCTATATATGTGGATGATCTCTTCCTGTATATCTCAAACCCCACAATTAGGATACTTTTAATCAAAGTCAAATTTTTACAGGAAGAGGGGTTTAACATTTGCACGGCCTTCACTTCTTCTGTCAACTTCTCACACATAGCTTTTGTTTGCCCATCATACATACTATTAAAGCTGTAACTACATACATAAAAGAATGACTTTTAACCCATATATGCTGTATTAGTTAAATTTCCTGGCTGAAAATTTTTTTAGTTTTCAAGACTATAAATGAAAGTGTGTTTGGTACAACTAGCATCTTCGAATTAAAGTTCCTTCACATCATTGTTTCCACCATAAACGGATGATACGGATCACCTAGACAGCATGCAATGTGCAGAATTTGCTGTTTATGACAATAACCTTCTTTAGGAAATATGTCAGTCTATCTTGGCTCCAAGTCTTTAAGTGACAAATGTCGCCTTGTCCCTCTCACTTTGCTTGTGCCGTGCAAGTCAGCAGAGACAGACTTAGTTGCGTAAGATAGCTGCGCGTACAGCTGCACCCCTGCGGTACTTAACACTTGTACAGAACTGGGAACACGGATAGAGTTCGCCAGTGAAGGAGGGAGGGCTTGATGGGTCGCGGCGGCACATGGTGATCCCTCGGCCTGGCATGAAGGCGTGGCATGTTAGCGCCGCGGAGGGAGTTGGAGGTGATGGGTGTCCCAGCTCGTAAGGGGTTTACGCTGTAGTAAGTCCCCAGCACCCACAGGCTACTGACACTTAGGTGATAGACAGAAGCGGAAGATGGAGGGGAGGGAGAAACCTTATCCTTCTGGGATATTGAGTTAAATGTCACAGCTCTGCCCTGAGGGAGACACTGACAGGCTGACCCCTATCACAGCCCCCAAATCTCCGAGGTCAGAGTGGCTGCACAACAGCTGAGGCCTGAGAACGGCGAGCTGAAACAGAGATGGGGACACTGGTGGAACAGAAAAGGCATAAATGTTTCGGCAACATGTCTGAGAGGGGGAAAAAGTACGAGATAAAGTCAGAGACAAACATTAGTCCCATTTTCTTTTTCTCTTTACTTACTTTTATTTAACACCAATGGGATATCAATAAAACCAAATGTAAACATATCTCGATACTCACAACAAAAATCCAATACTTACCTTAATCTCAATAAAGACTTTAATGTGTTTATTTGCAACATACATAAGTACATAAATATGCTCATGCATTTTAAATCATGGCAAATTAAATGATTTAAAAAATGATTAAAAAAAAAATTAAGGATAAATGTCAACATGCTGTTCTTATTTGATGCTTTGAAAAAAAATGTCTGTTTTCAAAAGGTAATGAACAAAGTTCTCTCGTTAAAAA